ATCAAATAAAATCTTATTAAAATGCATTATAAAATAAGGGAAAAAATTTAAATAAAAATGCAAATTTTAATTAATTTTTGGAAATAAAAAAATATTTTAAAAAAATTATATAATTTAATTTTTTCGAATTTAAAAATTTAAATTTTCTAAAAAAAAATCCTTCCAAAAGTCGCTATTTTTGTAATTTATCTTCCTTATTTGATGTATTTATGGAAGGAAAAGTGTATAAGAAAATTACGTATTTTTTAAAAAATGCAAAATTTTGTACTTAAGTAAAATAAACGAATAAAAGAAATATGAAAATGCATTTTTGAATAAAAATATTAATTTAATTAAATGGAATTCAAAGAATTTTTATAGGCGTCAATGGCAATTTTATGAAGTATGTTAAGAACCGGATGCCTTGTCCTGGCCGGATGTTCTCACCTGTCCGAGAAACAGGTAGATGTAAGTCTACAAGTGAATGTCAAGGTCAGTCAAATAACGTGCACGGAAAACACCTAACGGTTGGTTCGTTGACTATTATTAATGATAGTTGCCTTCTAAGGCTACATCCGTTCACTCACAAAGAATCTGTCTGGTTATTATGCAATAAAAAAAATTCCTTATTTGATTTAAACTGGAAGAACGAGTCGAAGAGGAGCTGACAAAAAAAAAGCAGAGAAAATCCACTGTCATCGTATACCGCGCGCGTTTTAAAAAAAGACTCCCCCCTTTATAATAGCTATATAAAATTGTGGAAAAATTCAGAAAAATTCTTACCTGTGGCACATAGTGTGATGAAAGTTTGAGCGTGCCTTTTAATTACATGATTTGCTTTTGCTAATGGCAGTCGTTGTATGATGTAATCGAGGAAATCGTTAGGTGTTACTGCAGCTAGATCCCACTTAAGCCTGCCTAAAACCAGCATTTCCCATTCCTAGAAAATAGAAAAATAAAAATACAAAATAATAATTATCATTTTATATATCTAAAATTTACATAGAATGGTTTAAAAATACAATTGTGATCAATTGAATCTGATTTTAACCTAGCTGTAAGCATCTAACCTAGTGTGGATCATTACATATACAAATTATGGCTTAAAAATATGGGCATAGAATCTTAGTGTAGATCACAATTAAATCCTACTGTAACCGAATTAAAACATGATAAATATAGATTATAATTGAATCCACATTTCTTTACTGTTATTTAAATAGATAACTGTAAACAAATATGCCCTGAAATTAATCAACAAACAACCAGTTGCAACAGAGCAGGGACCTTCAAAAATGGGTATTGCTCTACAACTAAATTATGCAACGCTTAGAAGAGAAACATCAACAAACGTTATGCCACTTCATGCATGTTTAAATAATTTATATATAAATCACGATTTGGAACCTGTCAAGTTGTTATTTATTTCAAAATGGACATTTCTTGAGAATTTGTTGATATCCGCCCACGTTCAAATACTATGTTCCTGTTTTAATGTCAGAATAACTCAAGGTAGTTCGTTGCTGCATGTCATGACTGTTAGATCTTCAACCCTGGATTTGTTGTAGATACTTTAGACTTAAAATTCTTTTCCTTTTTATTATAAATAATGTTACGAAATTAGAAGAATATTTACATCTAGTTTACAAAATTACAAATCGTGAAAGTTGCAATCTGTTCCTGAAAGTTTTCGTGCGGTTTGAAAACAGGAAACAATAAAACTATCATTCTAAAAAAAACTCATTCTAAATTCCCACACTTAATCGTTTAACCTAAATAAATACTAAAATAGTCTTTTTCAGAATTAAAAATATTAGAATTTTGTTTAAATAACCGAAAATTTCTTCTGAAAAACCTCAAAATCACTAATTTCATTCAGTTCTGTTAAAGGGTTTAGAAAAGTTTCATTCCATTTTTCAATTTTGGAGCTCTTTCTTCAAAAAAATCAAGAAAAGAATAAGAAAGAAGGGGGTTTTTTAAGGCACGTAACAAGTGGAAGGTTTCCTCTGAAGCGGTAAATTACTTTGCAATGGTTACAGAACACAAAAGAGATGAATGATGACATGTCAAATCACATTGTAGATCTAAGAAGGCCAAATATTCTACAAATCAGAACTGTATTGGTGACAACCAACTACAAAATTAAAGATTTGTTAACCTATTTTTTTTTTTTTAGAAATTTGAAAATTAATGTGATTATTAATTGCAATTTCAAAATTTGTGAACTAACTTCAGATTTCAGCTTTGTAGAATTCATAAAATTTACGGTTTTTACTGAACTTTACTAATAAAAAATTTCATAATCTACATAGAAAGAACATGGCACAATTCATTATTTAATAATTTTTGAAGAATTTTTGCTAATTCAATTAATGGTTGAATATCTATTGTTTCAAATTATATATATGAATTTAATATATTTCAATGTTAAAATTATATTTTAAGCTTGTTTCCAATTAAACTATCTTAAAACTTGTCAAGTAAATTCTTAATTTTTCCACACCTTTCACGTAGTTTAATAAAATTGCTAAATTACAATTCTATAAAAACGCTGAAAGCTCAAAAGTAAACAAAGAAACCAACCGTTCAATTAACGTTTACATTGATTCATGCTCTTCTTTATGGTTCCTAAGCAATTTCTTACTCAAGCTTGAACATATTCATAAAAATTCAATTTAGAAAAACAAAAAATAAAGAACGGAACTAATTAGAAATTCAGATAAGCTTAGATAAGCAACAAGGAATTGATTGGATCACAAAGAAATTGATCTTAAATGCTCTTGATGTATTAATTTTTATAAAAATAAATACTTTCTTTGTACAAATAAATATATAAATTATTTGTCAATGCACTTACTCAGCTACTGATACTATTCTTAGCATGTTTTTTTTTTCCTTCTAAAAAATCACAGTTTCCTGTAGCTCAACACATCTCACCAGCATAAAACAGAAGATAATACGAATTTTTTTTAGAACAACGCTACACAATTTATAAAACACGCTGTAATATTCTTCACAGCATTAACATAACCAAATATTTTTACTAAAACTGCATGATAATAGATAAGATAATGCCCATTCTTAAATGGTTAAACTAAGTTCATTCATCAGGGTGTAGAGTCAGTGATTCAAAAGTAAAATTTCCAAAAATACAACCCGAATTTTTTTTTTTTTTTTGGTTGTAACGTGAAACGTCGAAGTTGGGTTTTACTTTGCTGTGGTCCGCTATCATTAGGGATGGAAAAGTAGACAGGAAGTTGCTTATCACGACACCACTCCCACTGAGCTTAGTTCTCATCATATGTAATGACATAATGTCAATTTATACAATTAAAATCGCTTTGAATCTACATTTTTACTGATCTTTATAACGAAAAATCTTCAAAAACAAATTTTTTTTTATTATTTCAGTATTGAATCAGACATTAGAAACGCCATAATAAAAATATTTTCTATTTTTAGTTCACAGAAGACCAAACAATGATAATGAATTGAAACTTACAAAGTGAATTTTTCTTTATACTTATTATTATTTTTTTTTGAATTAATCGTTTTATTTTTGATATTTTAATTATATTTTCATTGCTTAATATTTTTAAAGATTTCTTTTTATTAATTATTAACCTTGTTATTATATTCTTTACATAAAGAATAGAGATAAATATTAAGATAGTTGTGTAAAACAGAACATACAACTCATAAATAAATAAATAAAATATTTTGAAAAATATCAATAAATATTCAATTTTAAGTTTTATTCTTCTATTTATCTTTTGTTTTGGATTTTTAAAATTATTTTTTAAAATCAAAACAAAGTTTTAAGTTTTAAATTTTTGTTTTTCATTCATTAAATTTATTTTTTTATATATTTATTTATTTTATAATTTAAATAAATTCATTAAATTATTAGAAAGTAACCAATATGGAAATTATCAAAAAATTCTTTTTTTTTTTTGTTTTACTATTTTAAANAATATAACCTTGAATACGTGTTTAAATAAATCTCTATACACGCGCCTCTACCTTCAACTTTTTTGAGAGTGACTTTTTGAAGAGAATTAAATTGAAGAGAATTAAACTTTTACGCAATTTTTTAAGCAAATTTTTAATTATTCACTCATTATTTCTAACATTTAAATGTATACAATGCATTTTATAAAATGTTTACAACTAAAATTTTAACAAGCTCAAGAATAATAACAACAAAAGAAAAGAAATAGGGGGGAAAAACATTTTTTAAATCCAAAAAAGGCAAAAAACAAAAGTTGTATACAAAGCTGAATGAATAAAGTTCTCATTAGTTAAGGTCAGTTTATCAGTTTGACCTAACGTAACCGTAATGCAGGAAGCCTCAATGTTGTTTTTTTTATGTATACAAGCTATAATAGACGAGACATTTACCCCTATGTATCAAGTGCAACCGAATGCTTTCTTTTAATTAGAAAAACTTTAAAAATTACTCCCTTAAAATTATAAAAATTAATTAATTGCCTTACGAAAAATAATGTGTTTTTTAAACCCAACTTTTAAAAAATTCTGCTCCTGGTTAGTTTAGAATAGGTTTTTTTAATCGAATATTAATTTCGATACTAAGTGCTCTGTACCTCAAGATTACCAGTCAATTTAATCATGTCTTCCTCCCATTATACTTTATGTATACCATAAATANCATCAAGTGCAACCGAATGCTTTCTTTTAATTAGAAAAACTTTAAAAATTACTCCCTTAAAATTATAAAAATTAATTAATTAACTACTTTTTTACGTTCCAATAACCCACTTTGAAGTCTAAATTGGTTACGCATCAATTGAATAGAGAAGATGCTGAAAAATCAGGTAGGTCTATTGTCTTTACAAACTGATTATTTTATGTTTTTCTAGGGGATTTTTTAGAGTTATGTAGACAAAAAATCATTCCAGAAAAGCCTGAAGCTATTACTTACAGAACTGCATCAATAGGTGTAATTATTTTGCTTTTATTCATGAGAAATGTCGGTCAGTTAAATGTAAGATAATTTGTCAGGATATGAATTAAAATTCAAATAGTTTTTTTTGGAACTTCCTAAGTATAATTAAAGATTGAAAAAAATTCAAAATTAAATTTTAAATTTAGGTGCGTTTTTTGATAAACCGTTAGAAATATTCTCATCGTTCTGATATTAGAACAATACAGATCATTGATAAATGAGTGCAATTTCCTGCTTAAAAATGTAATTTAATACCTGAAATTGAGATGGAAAAAATCATTTCAACATCAAGAAGATTGTTTACATTTTTACATCATGTATTGCTGAATTAAAATTAAATCATGTAAGCAGTTTATCCATACTAAAATACGTGACATTCCATTTTGTTCAATTCGTAGAATGAAACTAGGAAAAAAGTATTATATTCCTCCAAATAAAAACAATAAAATTAAAGTAAAAAATTTCATTTTACATTATTTACAATAGAATTCATTCGATGAGAATTCCACAAACCCGTTTCTACTTGGCGCTCACTTCAAAAAATTTTAACTATTTTTAGATATTAAAAATTGTTACTCACCCACAGTTCTGTTAAAGTAACGGAATTGTCTGTATATGCACAAAGTTTTTCGGCAGTTAATGGTTTACTTTGACGAAGTTTCGATGATATCAACAGACAGACAGCACCTAATAGTTGCAACTGAGACTTCCGTATATTAACTATTGATAAAAATCTGTCCATACAGTTCATTGCTAAAGGCAATACTTCTTCTTCACAATGCTCTTCTTCGCATACCTAAAAAACAGGTAAAAAAATTACTTGAATTTTTCTTAAAATTCAACAAAATCCTTGCAATATAATCATTTATTCTTGGGCCAAAATGCTCTTGTAAAATGATTACTTTTTTTAAAATTCAAATTAAAATTAAAATATGGACGCAAATTTTACGATATTTTCACAGATACTTTTAAATTTAAATTATAATTTTGTATAATTAAATACGTAATTTAAGCCCTTATCAAATTTAAATTATGATACATAACGGTTAATTCATTCATACCAAGAACTGTACTTACCTCTAACATCCAAGATGCCACAACTTTTCTCATGTACGGTTTGAGTTCACGTTGAACACATTTAAAATATGAAGAGGAAACAATGTACCTTTCTTCTGTTAATAACAAATTATGCAAAACTCGATCATCTTTTAATAATACAGGATCATCATAAGCACGAATCGTTGAGCTGAAGTTCGATTCACAACAAAATAGATCCATGATTGTTAATAACAAATTCTTCATTCACGTTAACTAATAGATAACACAGAAACGTAAAGAAAGTATATCCATGATAAAAATTAAAGTAGTTGTAGTACAAGACGACATCGTTACTGTGTTTAGACGAATGCCAGGGGAACAACCTAACCGTCTTGAAGTTTGAACCAGCTGACTGTACCCTCGCAAAATGAACTTGTTCTAAGCATGCGTACAGGCACACAGCTTACTACTGGTTCGCTCAGTTTTCTCCATTGACATAATAGAGGTCAGTTATGTTGTTACGAGTAGCTCGCAACACTCCGTAACATTCAACTTGTTCAACCTGTACCATTCACAAAAATAGACAGTCAAGTTTCTTGTTGCTCTTTCTCAATTTACCCAACTTTACACGAAAAAATATAACCTTGAATACGTGTTTAAATAAATCTCTATACACGCGCCGTATTATTTTATAAATTTTACGTATAAAATTGGAAATTGTTTAATTATTAATTAATATATTTTACTTTTTCTCTAGTGAGATTACTGTAAAAATAATGTAAGTAAGTAGGTTTTTTGGGGGGTGATGCGTGATTTTGCTGTAGGATAAAATAACGTTATAGATTAAGACAATGACTACTTTTTGAAAATTACCCCTAGGGTAGGTAGTCAGCTCTCCCGGATCCTTAGTGAAGGTAACAGAACCCGATGGAATTTTTGAATAAACATATGGTACTCCCTGCATGAATTTTGCATAGTTTTCGTTTTCGAATACCAACGTTCATCTTCTTTACTTTCTTAAACACATTTTAACTATCTATCCGTAAAAGTTTTATTTTATTTGTCAAAATATTGCAATTATTAAAAATATTTTTAATTAACTATCTTAAACTCCTAAATCCATTAAACTGTATGGTTTCATACGAGTATTTCTTAATGCATACACCTCATAAAACTACACAATGTTTTTAGAAAACAGAAAATTTTAATTTTAGATTGAAAATAAAGGTCTTTTATTAAGAAATATAAATAATTTACTAGAAAATTATTTATTTTGAAGAATCTTCACACCACGGGGGAAGAGGATAATGGAATACCATTGGCATGGCATTTAGTTACAGTATGTAGGCCTTGTAAATAGTGTGCATTGGTATGCGGTCTCTCTACTTGAAAACTTTGCTCCTTTTTTGAATTAAAGATTATTTTAAAATATTAAAAACATATTTTAAACTATTCAGAAAATAAATATAATCATTAACAAATGCTTACAATTAACATTCTTTAATATATTTAGATAGCAGCATGCATTGCACTATTCTTCGTCAACAAATTCTTTGATAATTTAAATTATTTCAATTAAAATGCACATTTGTTTACTTTTCAGCGTGAGAATGTTAAAGAGAAATTTATTTTATTTTTTTATTTTTCGCTTCTTTTGAGTTCTAAAGTGGAGAAATGATTTAAGTGGCACATGGGAACATCGTGTGGTTACTTGGTGGGGTACTAATAGGGAATAAAGCAGTAACTAAAATTCTATTGTAACTACTAGAAAGGTATTCTAAGTCGAGCATTCATTGACTTTACCTTGGCATTTTTTTCCTGCAATGTTTTCAATGGTTTGGATTTCGGAACCTGCATGAGTTATGCTCATTCACAAGTTCCTAGCTTATTTTGGGAAGAATTTTGTTATATTTATGTTATTTTTGGTGATATTATGCTTTGATTTATGATACTTCACACAGTTTTGATAGGGCCCATAATTTTAAAAAGTGCATTGAAGATGGGCATTAATTTATAAGTGCCACTTCACTCACATCAGCACATGTCATTTTTCTCTTAAACAGATGATAAAATGTAAGAAAACAATAAATAATTAGGAATTTCTAGTTGCTAAAATTAATAAATTACTTTTTAAACATCATAATTATAGAAATTTATGGAGATAATTAAATAATCTTCAAAAATACTACCTCGTATTCATTGATATCTCTATTGGAACGTTTATGTCTTAAATGTAAAATATTTAATTATTTTTAAAAATAAAGCTTATAGAATTTAACTGGAAAAAGCAGAAATTTTAAGTTTTAATCCATCTTTATTGTTGAATCGGGGTCAATATTATTTCCTTTATCGACAAATAACGTGTTAGATTGATTATCTTATTTTCTTTTCATGGAATTCGAACTTGTTAACTCTTTCTTAGAATTTCGAACTTAGCCCATCCTCGGGGGTAAACACCTGGTTGACAACAAGACAATAAACACATTTCAATTTGCTCCTCACCCAAATTTATATTTGTAGTAGGCTATACTCATTTGTTACACGAGGATTGTGGTGGAAAACTTTAAGCACAGAACGATCCTTATATACAGATATATGCATTTATTTTGCGTATTGCATTATAAAAAAAAAATTCGTTCGTTTGTCTGTTCGTATCGTAAATATTATAAATATAATAGAATTCAAATTTACTAACAAGAGGTACAAATTGTTTTATTTTGGTAATTAAAGTCAGGGTAATAAAGTCTAATTTTATACTTTTAAATTTGTTTACAGTACTATCTTTATTGTACTGCAATTTAGTAAAGTCATCATTACTTAGATGAAAAAGTGGATGAATCAAGACTAACTGATTCAGTTAAGATTAATTCAAAGTCAATTAAGTGTTTCTGATTTAATTAAGGCTGGGATTCATCAAGGTTAACGATGAAAACACTTATTGTTTATTCTATTATATATACAGTAAATTCTCTAAGTATCTAAAATTTGGCTATTTTAAATAAACGTAATAATTATTTTATAATTTTTAATTATAATTTTGTATTATATATGAAAATATTGTGATAAAATATCAAATTTATAGTTAATTTCTTCCTGGTTTTGCTTATCAGCTTTATCATCACTGTACTGTACGTTGTCTAATAATTTTAATTAATTAAATTAATATTTTTCAATTAGAAATTAAATTAATTTTCAAATAAAACATTAAATTTTATTGAACTTAATTAATGTACTTTAAAAAAATGATTAATTAATTCAATTAAATTTAATTGAATTATCATTTCATTAATTTGCAATAAAAACCAGTTAATAAGCACATTTTTCCTTAAATTTAACCCAAAAAATTATTCAAAAATAATTTAATTGAAAAATTTTCATTTTTGTTCAATAATTTAGCAAGTATCAAATTTATTAATGTACCAAATTGCATGGGGAAAAAAAAGAATTTTCTATAAATTATTAACAATTTCTAAACAATAAATTGCCACGATTACTGCCTGAGTCAACTTAATTAATTGAATAAACCGTAACAAATATCAAAAATAATTAAGTGCAAGATGAGGTTAAATCATAGCTGTAAGGCTACTTAACTGATTCAAGGTTATGAGTCTATTAATCCGGATATGAAGTTTTAGACTTAAATTCAATTTCCCGGATGCTAAAATGTAGGATTATCATATTAACTAATTCCGGAACAGTGGAATAATATGTACATGATTTTCTTCTTGACAAATCTTTGCAAATGCATTTGTTATCTATCAACAATTGAATTTAATTATGACCCCCTCCTTCCCATAATCTTTCAGATAATGAGTTTACTGTAAACTTGTAATCTCTAAGTTATATTAATAAAATTGAGAAAATGAAACCTTATTTATATTGGTCAAATTCGATACATTTTCTTAAGAGTTTCCAATGAAGATCCTTTGCAAAGAGTTTACTCATGCTCATTGCTTTAGTATGAGCCCTTTGATGAATTATCCTACAAATGAGTGATATTAGAAATTAGTAATTTTAACAAATGAATGGTTTAAATGTATTCTGATGTATAATAATAAACCCAATAGTCGGGTTTATTATACGAATATCATTAGTTATAACAATTTCTCATGGTTTAAATTAAATAACAATTGCTTTGCAATATATTTATCTTTATAAATTTGAGTAAAAATTGAATGATTTTCATATAAATAACATTATTTGTGGTTTTTTTATAGCCATATTGCAATGTCAAAAATTATTGTTAGTCAACACAGGTAATAAATTATCCATTAATTAAACATCCTGCAAATGATAAGTTATCTAAATATAGTATTTTAGAGCATAGCTTGCATTTTAAAGTTTAATTTATTCTTATAATTGTACAGAGTTATGCTTACCCTGTGTTAAATGAAACTTATCCTGTTTACCCTTATAAAAAGCATTATATTATAACTTAAAATTAATACTTTATAGTGAAGAGTGAGGATTATCATTGAATGTTTTAGTAATTTGAAACAACGCCATAGGATAGTAACAAATTGTATTAAATTTTTAATTAAAAGAAAATATTCTAAGAATTTTAGTAACTTGGAAAAACAATTATCTTAAAGTTAGACTAAAAGAATTTTGTTTCAATTGTTCAACTGATTGTCATACTAATTTAATTAGCACATACTACAAGAATAAAGGTTAAATTTAATTAACTTATATTTTAAAAACTTTTAAATTTAAGCTAAATATAAAAATTGAAGTGTTTTCTTTTTAGCAATTTAACAAGATTTTATTTGTTAAAATTTTCAACTTTAAATTAATTTTTGTAATCTGCTTCAACCCTTTTAAACTAAATTCAGCACTTCCTAATATAGTAAAATCGTTCATTACAATTTTTAAAATAATATTTTAACGTATTTTATTTCGAAATTATTCTTCCATTCTGGTGAATAATGATGTAACTTTATTTTCTCTCTTACTACATCCCTACATATAACATTATCTGTAACAGATGCGTGGTAAAGTACTGGCATTTCCTGACTACTGTAATATGACTATTAGGGAGATTGCTGCTGCAGTTGGTATTGAAAAATCAATAATTTGCAAGATAATAGCTATGCAAACAGCTGGTTCGGTTTCACCCCGAATAAAAGGACAATGTGGTAATAAACATAAATTAATACCTCATGATAATAAAATGATTATTTGACAGAAGAAAAGCAAAATTACTTATGATCTTCACAGATACCGTATTTACTATCATCAGAAATAAGTTGAGCACTTCTCAAAGTTTGCAACAAAGCAAAAATGCTATACATTGAGTAAAGAATAAAATCCCATCGTGGAAAAATTTGCATGAATTGGATTTCAAAATGGAAAAATTGTACTAAATTTGGTTTTGAAATATTCAAAAATATAGGTCAAATGTTATGAGAAGTGCAGGTGAACTTATTCGAGTTGGCCATATATA